CGGCAGGAAGCCTGCTTCTCCCTCTCCCACTCCCCCTGCTCGTGTTCCCTCTCTCACTATCTCTCTCTGTCAAATAAATAAATAAAATCTTTAAAAAATTTTAAAAAAAACCCACTGTCACTACCAACAGCAATTTTAAGTTCAGGGGGTTCCCAAAACCACCCTCAGTTTCAATAATTGGCTGGAAGGATTCACAGGGCTCACGGAAAGCTGTTATACTCATGGTTATAGTTTATTATAGGGAAAGAATACAGATTAAAATTAAAATAAGCTAACGGCAGAGATGAACAGGGCAGGGTCCAGGAGGATACCAAATGCAGAGCTTCCAGTTGTTCTCTCCCCATAGAGTCGGAGCAGTGTTATTCTCCTGGTATTGATATCTAACAATAGCATAGAGTACTGCCAACCAGGGAACTCACCCAAGCCTTAATGTCCAGAGTCTTCAATGGGGCTCCTTGATGTAGGCACATTTGCCTGCCGACATGGCTGGTCTTAGTTTCTAGCCATCAAGAGGCCAAGGCACATGACCCAAAACCCCCACCCTTCATCATGTTTTTGGTGTAGCTCTGAGTCCCCACTTCACATCACATAGCTACTATCTGGCTGCACTAGGTCCCCCACACTAAATCATACTGTTGGTGTGGCTCAAAGCCCCCCACTCTAAATCACAAGTTAGTAACTGCCGGACTAAGACTCCCAAGCAAACAAAGACACTCCCATCAAGCACGACATTCCAAGGCCTAGAGCTTACGGTTCAGAAGCTGAGGACAAAGGCCAGACCTCTGTCTGGGCAAAGTTAAATTCTTTACTATCCAATATTATACACTGTTATAATAATATACACATGGGGGGTCATCATGGAAAGTTGTTAATAATGGAGAGTCACATAAGCAGACACCCTGCAACCTCCTGGGTGGGACATGTGTGACATTCTTCCAGGAATCTCCCAACTATCTTAATGCTAATACCTTGCTAGAGGGGAAAACAACCTTAACTTGACAAAGGCAAGGCCTCAGGTATCTTGTAGGTTGGTCCTCTTTAGCATATGAAAGTTCTTTTGAAACCTCCCTTTTCCTTACTTCCCCCAACTCCTGAGTATATAATCACCGCTCCTCAAAGACCCTGGGGCGGCAGCTCTTTCTGCCCACGGGTCCTGTCTCCGTGCTTTAATGAAACCACCATTATGCACCAAAGACGTCTCAAGAATTCTTTCTTGGTCGTCAGCTCCGGACTTCACCCCACCAAACCTTATCTATATTCCAAAACCCCATCAACAGACACTAATCCAAACATTTTATGTAATTAACCCACTTAAATTTATAAGCAAACCAATGAGGGTGGGCCTCTTCATATTCCATTTTTTGAAGATGAGGAATACTAAGGTATAGAGAAATTTATTCAACTCTCCAGGCTCCACAGCCAGTCTATGGGAGAAGCAGGGTTCACACCCTGCATTTTGTGACCCTACATGTCCTCCCTTAAAACTCTTTTCTGCCTTGAGTAGTATTACCAGATGTCCACACATGATGCCTGCCTGACCATACTTTATACAGGACGTTCTAACATCATGTTGTCATGAATAATAGTGATCTCAGGGGCGCCTGGGTGGCTCATTCGTTGGGCGTCTGCCTTCGGCTCAGGTCATGATCCCAGGGTCCTGGGATCGAGCCCCACATTGGGCTCCCTGCTCTGCAGGAAGCCTGCTTCTCCCTCTTCCAATCCTCCTGGTTGTGTTCCCTCTCTCGCTGTGTCTCTCTCTGTCAAGTAAATAAATAAAATCTTTAAAAAAAAATAGTGATCTCATAGTAGAAACAGCTGTTTAACTTCTTCACTGACAGAACCTAGGGAGTTTCCCTCACTCTCGCCCTCATAGGACACCCCCACCATCATCAGAGAAACAACAGCCAAGCCCTTTAGCATAGCATTTATGACCCAACTTAAGCCTGGACTACTTTTCTGGTTATTCCAATCACTCTTCTCCTACATTCATTCATTCATTCATTCAGTAAACCAGTATTTCGTGAGGGCCTGCTATATGCCAAGTATAGCCAAGCCCTGTGCTAGTGATGTGGTTTTGGAATATAGGTGAAGTTCAGTGGGGTGGAGTCCGGAGCCAACGACCAAGAAAGAATTCTTGAGACGTCTTTGGTGCACAATGGTGGTTTTATTAATGCACGGGACAGGACCCATGGGCAGAAAGAGCTGCTGCACCAGGGTTGCCAGGGGTGATTGATTACATAACAGGGAGTTGGGGAAGGTAAGGAAAAGGGAGGTTTTCAAAAGAACTTTCATATGCTAAAGAAGACCTACAAGATAACGCTAAAGAGGACCTACAAGATATGGCAGGCCTTGCCATTGTCAAGTTAAGGTTGTTTTTCCCTCTAGCAAGGCATTAACATTAAGATAGTTGGGAGCTTCCTGGAAGAACGTCACACATATCCCACCCAGGAGTGGGGTGGGGGGAGGTTGCAGGGTGTCAACTTATGCTTTGTCTTCAGCTAGCCTTCTGCTCCCTCATCACTAGGACCTGGGAATACAGCTATAAACAAAACAAAATTCCTGCTTCTACAGGGGTTACATGCTGGAACAGAGGTCAGTAAACTTTTTCCTATACAGGGCCAGATAACAAATAGTTTAAGCTAAGAGAGTCATATGGTCTCTTTCATAACTACTCAACTCTGCTATTGTAATGCAAAAGCAGCCATAGACAATATGTAAAGGGATGGGTGTGGTTGTATTCTAATAAAATTTTATCTTCAGAAACAGATAGTGGGTCAGTTTTGGCCCATGGGCAATAGTTTGCCAACCTCTCTTTGAGAGGCAAATCGCAGACCTATACCCCTGAAACAAATAATACATTATATGTTAATTAATTGAATTTAAATTTTTCAAAAAGAGACTGCATGTAAAAGGATAAAAAAAAAAAGGGGGGGGGTTGCCTGGGTGGCTCAGTCGGTTAAGCATCTGCCTTCCGCTGGGGTCATGATCCCAGGATCTTGGGATTGAGTCCAGCATTGGGCTCCCTGCTCAGCGGGGAGCCTGCTTCTCCCTCCCCCTATGCTGCTCCCCCTGCTTGTTCTCTCGCTCAAATACATAAATAAAATATTTTAAAAATAGAGACATGGGCATTGGCGATGTGTTGGCATTAAGCCAATACATTAATAGATATATGTCAGGTGGTGATGAACGCTATGGAAAGAAATTAAATAGGGTGAGGAGGTAGAGACTGACTGTGGCTTGCAGCTATTTTCCAAAGGAGGTGTCTGAGAAGGCCTCACCAGGAAGGAAATAAGAAGCAGAGAGGCCTAAAGGAGATAAGGGAGTCAGCCATGGGGTTATCTGGGGGTGGTGTCCCAGGTTAGGGGAAGCATCAGGATAAAAACCTCGAAGTCAAAGTGTCTCTCTCTCTCTAGCATCACATCCCTCTGGTCTCTCTGCTCTAATGACCCCTATCAGTGAGGCCTTCCCTGCCCACCCTAAATATAATCCCTCCACCCCCAGTGTACCCCAACATACCCTTTCCTCCAACCTGGCCTTATCTTTCTATGCAGCACATGCCACTCTCTGCTATATATATTTACTGACCTAATCTATAAAATCGGGGACTCTTGGTTTTGTTCTCTGTTGTATCCTCAGCACCTAGAACGTACTCAGGCACATGGCAGGTGGTCAGAAAATTTTCTGAAGGTGGCTAGAAGCCAGGCACTTGGCACACATTACTAAAACACAGAGATACGCTCCAAGGTGGGCATTTTCCTGAGACTCAGAGAGGATAGATGACTTGCCTAAGGTCACACAACCAGGACTTGAGGGCTCCAGGCTTTGAAATGAAGTCTTCCAGGCTCCAGAACCCACAAGTCCTGGATTATTTGGGTGTCAGGCTTGAGGTGAGATGGCCCCAACATCTGAGGACAAAATGTGTCCATCCACTACAAGATGGGTACCCACTCCATGTCTGATGTCAGAAGACACAGAAGAAATCCCCTGCAATGAGATCTCCACAAAGCAGTTCAGGGGAGATCCTGTGACTCCCCCTAGACAGTGGGTGTGACCCCCTCAATCCCAGGGAATGGACTGAAGGAAGTAGTCACCTACTACTTCCATGTAGTCACCTACATGGGCTAAGCAGCAAGATGTGGATGAGTTTACAAAAAGTCTTATCACACATGCCTCTCATGGTCTTTTTGGACAGTGACCAGACTAGCAGGAGGAGGGCACTCATATCTGGGATGTGGTCTTTGATCAAATTTCTCAGAATGACCTCCTGGAGAGACATGAAATCTGGGTTAGGTAAGGTTGGTGGATTTGTACCCACCATAATGCTTCTATAGAGGCCCTCACCATACACATTATAAACTTACAACACACACACACACAACAGATGGATACAGTAGAGATACATTTTTTTCTTTAAAATATTTTATAACTGGGGCACCTGGTGGCTCAGTCATTAAGCTTCTGCCTTCGGCTCAGGTCATGGTCTCAGGGTCCTGGGATCGAGCCCCGCATCGGGCTCCCTGCTCGGCGGGAAGCCTGCTTCTCCCTCTCCCACTCCCGCTGCTTGTGTTCCCTCTCTCGCTGTGTCTCTCTCTGTCAAATAAATAAATAAAATCTTTTTAAAAAATAAAAATAAATAATAAAATAAAATATTTTGTAACTTCTAAAACATAATGAGAGTGAAAAAACAGATGAGTAATAGCATAAATTTACACATTACAAATCTTCTGTTTCTTTATATAATGCACTACATACCATTTTAACAAATTTATACCTAAATTGAACTTTTTTCTGGCTCAGTTTTACACAAATTCATTTATTATGTCATGAAAATGTATACTTTTAACAACTTTATTTTTATTTTATTTAAGTCTTTATTTTAATTCCAGTTAGTTGCCATACCATTTAAGAAACAAAACAAATGAGCAAAGGGAAAAAGAGAGAGAGAGAGAAATCAAGAAACAGACTCTTAACTACAGAGAACAAACTGAAGGTTACCAGAGGGGAGGGAGATGGGGGGAACAGGTGAAACAGGTGATGGGGGGCGCCTGGGTGGCTCAGTCATTAAGCGTCTGCCTTGGGCTCAGGTCATGATCCCAGGGCCCTGGGATCGAGCCCCACATCGGGATCCCTGCTCCGCGGGAAGCTTGCTTCTTCCTCTCTCGCTCCCCCTGCTTGTGTTCCCTCTCTTGCTGTGTCTCTCTCTGTCAAATAAATAAAATCTTTAAAAAAAAAAAAAAAGACACAGGTGATGGGGATTAAGGAGTGCACATGTCGTGATGAGCACTGGGTGATGTATGGAATTGTTGAGTCACTATACTGTACACCTGAAATTAATATAACACAGTAGAGATACATTATAATAGCTGATATTCACTGAGCATTTCCTCTATGTCAGATCCTATTTAAGAGTGTTCTACTTTCCACATAGTAATTCATTCACTCTCTTCCTACCAGAGCCCTTACTTACATCTTTCAAGGTTACATTTAAAAAGCACCTTCTTGGGGCGCCTGGGTGGTTCAGTTGGTTAAGCAACTGCCTTCGGCTCAGGTCGTGATCCTGGAGTCCCGGGATTGAGTCCCGCATCAGGCTCCCTGCTCGGCAGGGAGTCTGCTTCTCCCTCTAACCCTCCTCCCTCTCATGCTCTCTGTCTCTCATTCTCTCTCTCAAATAAATAAATAAATAAATAAATCTTTAAAAAAATAAAAAGCACCTTCTTCATGAGGGAGCGCCTGGGTGGATCAGTGGGTTAAGCGTCCAACTCTTGATTTCAGCTCAGGTTATGATTTCGGGGTCTTGAGATCAAGCCTCAAGTCAGGCTTCTTGCTCAGCAGGGAGTCTGCTTGAGTTTCTCTCCCTCTGCCTCTCTTCTTGCTCTCTAAAATAAAAATAAATACATCTTTTTTAAAAAACAAAAAAGCATCTCCTCATGAAATCTGCTCTGATCATTGAACTTGAAGGTGACCTCTTCTTCCTTCAAAAGTTTATGACATTCACTTGTACCCCCTTGGAACTTCTGGATACTTCTTTATCTAAGTTATTTGTGGGCATGCTTCAATATTATAAAAAGCTTTATTCCAAGACCTTGTCTCATACATCATTTTCCTTCACCAAGTTCACATGGTACCTGGAGTATTTGAGTCTAGGCTTAGCGACTTTCAGAGTATTTGGCCCCTCCCCATGTCTCAATTCCCTTTATCTGTCAAATGAAGAAGATAATGGTATCACCCTGGTAGGATTGTTGTGGAGAATAAGATAATGCATATGAAACCCTTTTCTAAAATATCCTAGGTGACCTCAAACCATGCTCAGTGAAATGGGATGACTGGGTTATATTTAGGTAATTCTCTGCCATGGCAGTATACCACATAAGAATTCCTGAAAATGAGACCCAGATCCTGATTCAGTACGCTTGGAGTGGGGCCTGAATATGGGCATCTTTAATAAACTCCTGGGTGATGCTAAGACCATACTCTGAGGAGCTAGGATATAGCACTGTGCTCAGTAATCCTGGGTCAGGATTCTGAGGCTGTGCCAGGGCTCAGCTGGAAAGAGTACTGCAATAGACTTGTCATCCTCCAAGGGAACAGCCAAGGGAGGCTGCTGGCCAAGAAAGCCAGGGATTTCCCCTGTGCATCCCTCTGGAAGCATGCCATTTTACTCAGGCCATGGGAATCACTGAATCCTAATGCACAGGGCCAACTTTCCCATGCAAAGATGAAATAACTGGTTCCCTTGCCCTCACCAGCAGGAGCTGTGTTCTAACTTATCTCTAGACTACTGGATATTGCTTTGTATAACTACGTTCACTCCTTTCAGCCAATAGCACAGAGTAGTGGGAGCAGTCGGTGAAGTCCAGAGGTACCACAGTGGCTGAGAGAGAGTGCAACTGTGTGACTTGGGCTAGGAATCAGGTGTGCCTAAGAGTTAGGACTGAATCTTTGAAACCATGTGGGGAATTACACTGGAAGGAGGGAAGGAGTGCTGTAGAAAAGGAAACAGATTTCACAAAGTGAAGGAAAATTCTTTATTTTCACCATTTTGTCCAGGACCTCTTTTCTTTAAAAAAAAAAAAATACACACACAACTGTACAAGTAATACATATTAAAAAAAAACAAGTAATACATATTTATTGTTTTTTAGAAGATACGGATCAATAAGCTCCTCCATAATTCCACAATGTATACTATTAATACTTTAGAAGGAAACTCTATGGGTACATCCTCATGCATCTCCATTTCCTTAGAAATGACACTTCCAAGATAGAGTGCTGTGTACTTTACATAACAACTGTACTCGGTGAACTGTCTGTGTCCTTAGCCCGTTTTCCTATTCTTTTTCTTCTCTATTGGTGAAGATCCTTTACATATATTAAGTATCTTTAAAAAAATATGCTTATTTTTAATTCATCTGGGATGTATTCTGCTATAAGGTATGAAGTATAATCCTGAAAGTTTGCATTTATTATTAGTTTTTCTAAACTGTGAAACTGTTTTCCTGTCAGCATTAATTGAATAATGAAGACTCTCATCTTAAAAAATTACATTGTTCGATCCTTATAACCCTGAGGTATGTACTCTCATTAGCTCACCCCGCAGACAAGAAAATTAAAGCATAGAAAGGGTGAATAGTTTGGTAAAGAGTTGAACCAGACTTTGTTTTAGAAGTTGTCAATAAACCTTCTTTCTTTTTTTTTTTTTTAAGATTTTATTTATTTATTTGAGAGAGAGAGAATGAGAGAGAGAGAGCATGAGAGGGAGGAGGGTCAGAGGGAGAAGCAGACTCCCTGCCGAGCAGGGAGCCCGATGCGGGACTCGATCCCGGGACTCCAGGATCACGACCCAAGCCGAAGGCAGTCGCTCAACCAACTGAGCCACCCAGGCGCCCCAATAAACCTTATTTCTATTAAATAAATGTTAAGCAGATCACTTTATTTCATCCCTCAGATGTAAATGATTCCCATAAAGGAGCTGGAGCATTTGTCTCCAGAGTCCCTACTCCTTGGGGACAGCAATGCTGACATGTTGTACTGAATGGCTCCTCTTCTCTGAGAAGACATTTAAAATACGTTATTTATCCCAAAAAAGTGAAATAAAGGAGGAATAGAATTCTTCATCCTCATCGGTACTTTTTTTTCAACTAAAAACTTGTAAATCGTGGGGCACCTGGGTGGCTCAGTCGTTAAGCGTCTGCCTTTGGCTCAGGTCATGGTCCCAGGGTCCTGGGATCGAGCCCCGCATCGGGCTCCCTGCTCAGGGGGGAGTCTTCTTCTCCTTCTCCCGCTCCCCTTGCTTCTCCCTCTCCCACTCCCCCTGCTTGTGTTCCCTCCCTTGCTGTCTCTGTCAAATAAATAAAATCTTCAAAAAAATAAAAACTTGTAAATTGTGATATTCAATGCTACATTATTAAAAACAAAACAAATGCACCTGTGAAAACAGAAGAGGTACAGTCCAAATCTTTTAGAGTCTGCCCAGAATGACTTTCTGATTCATTCCATATTTCTTATCCTATTACTCTTTCTTCCTGAATATTTATTTTTATATTATCTAAAACTATCCTCAGCACTACTGCCCTGGTCTAAAACCTTCAGTAATTCTCCATGGCAGTAAGGTAATGTCCAAACATCCTCCAGTTGTCCTTGGAGGCCATTCACAATGGGGCCACAGCCTGCCTTTCAATCCAATTCTCTACCCCTCTTCAGGAACAGAGCTATGCATGTTGCTTTTTCTTTTTTCTTTTTTTTTTTTTTAAGATTTTATTTATTTATTTGAGAGAGAGAGAGAGTGCCCAAGAGGGGGTAGGGTGGGAGGGAGAAGCAGACTCCCTGCTGAGCAGGGAGCCCAATGTGGGACTCGATCCCTGGACTCCAGGATCATGACCTGAGCCGAAAGCAGTCGCTTAACCAACTGAGCCACCCAGACGCCCTGCATGTTGCTTTTTCTAAGACACATCTTTGTATATACTTATGTGGGTTTTTTTGTTTTTTTAAGATTTTTATTTATTTATTTGACAGAGAGAGACACAGTGAGAGAGGGAACACAAGCAGGGGGAGTGGGAGAGGGAGAAGCAGGCTTCCCGCCGAGGAGGGAGCCCGACGCAGGGCTCAATCCCAGGACCCTGGGATCATGATCTGAACCGAAGGCAGACCCTTAATGACTGAGCCACCCAGGTGCCCTCTGTGTTTAATGCAATAGAGAGATCAAGAGAATTTTAGAGCCAGGACTTCGAGGCTCATCCAACTTGGACATTTTAAAAAGAACTTGGACACTTTTTTTTTTAAAGACTGTATTTATTTATTTGACAGAGAGAGACACAGCGGGAGAGGGAACACAAGTGGGGGGGGGGGAGGGAGAAGCAGGCTTCCCGCTGAGCAGGGAGCCCGATGCGGGGCTCGATCCCAGGACCCTGGGATCATGACCTGAGCCGAAGGCAGACGCTTAACGACTGAGCCACCCAAGTGCCCTGAACTTGGACATTTTAAGGAAGAAACAGGTGCCAGACAGTATAACATGCTCCAGGTCGTACAGCATATTAGAGGTCACCATGTTACCAAAACAGGCTCTTGGGCACACTAAACAATAAAAATTGACAAAGGGTCAAATGGGAGTTTCGGGCAAGGCTTTATTGAGGTTCATGCTGGAGCACAAGGGAAACGGCACAAAGGAAACAATCCTCAGACTGACTCCCCAAAGAGAGGTCAGGGAGGGTTTTTTAAAGAAACTTAGGTGTGAAAAGGTGATCTAAGCATGTAGAGGCAGTAATTTATTAGCACCTGTGTACTTAAAGATCATGCTTCTTCACATATCACATATCTAATTAATATGTTAGATCTCCACCCCTGGGCATGGTTTTTAGTATAATGATGAGGGGGAAAGTTGGTGAAAGTTTAGCACTGGGATCCATCTTGGCACTGACTGGTTTGGTCTGGTCTTCACCAGTCTTTGTCAAGTCCCTCCTTTCTTTTTAAGATTTTATTTCTTTATTTGTCAGAGAGAGAGAGAGGTTGAGGGAGAGAGAGAGAGCACAAGCATGGGGAGCGGCAGGCAGAGGGAGAAGCAGACTCCCTGCTGAGCAAGGAGCCCAATCCGGGACTCGATCCAGGGACTCCAGGATCATGACCTGAGCTGAAGGCAGATGCTTAACCAACTGAGCCACCGAGGCATCCCAAGTCCCTCCTTTCAAAAAGAATCTTGTCTCCGCATTTCTACAAGATAGCTACTCAAGAGCGTAGAGTTTTAGCTATCCTGGAATGCTGGATTTGGTGGTAAGGGTTGAGGGGATCCGAGTCCAAGCCCCGCTCTGTCTGAATATGTGATATGTGGTAGGAAAACACGTGTTGAATGTGTTGCATGATTTGCAGTGTATTTAACTGTGTTTTGTTGACCTGGCAGGACTGCCATCTTTGTTGTGAATGAGTGAAATGAGCCAAAGCAAGAAGCACATGCACATCAGTTGAGCAATTCCCAAGCAATAAAACATGACAGAGGACTTGCTGAAGAAACCTGTGCACAGTGTCTTCAGCCGCTTGTTACCATATGAAGTGGCATGGAGGAAGGGACCCAGAAGGAAAGCTGGGGCATTTCAGTTCCATAGATCATGTCCCCTCTGCTCCCACCCGGACTGAGTTGAAGCCCTGTATGGGGGGGTCTTTCAGCAATGGTTTCTTACCCTCACTGCCAAGTCCTGGTCATCAGAGGACACTAGAAATACAAATTATTAGAATTTGAAGGGACCTTAGAGATTCCTCACTTTTAGATGAGGAAACTGAAGCCCAACAGGCCACAGACACACACACACACAGACATAGTCACACACACACACACACACACACACGTGTGTTTCATAGAATTGATGTACTATAGTATAAAGTGACCACC